AAAAGAAAAGGAAGATAAGTGGTTGGCATAACATCTGAGTTCTGAAAGCTGAAAGCTGTCTTGTTAGGAGTGGCCTATAGAATAGACTTGACCATCCTTCTGGAACCAGTTAAGTTGCATTTTGATGGTCTCCTACACCCAGAACATAATGAAGGCTTTCTTTTTCTAAAGAATTAGAGCACATATAGCCTGAACCATTCCTTTATTTATTCAACAGGCATCTATTAAGTGCTTTGAATGGGTCAGGTAGTGTTCTCCTTTGCTGTTCAGAAACACAGCAGTGAAGAAGACACAGCCTCTGACCTCAGAGGACTGTGAAAGAGATAAAAACCAAGCCAAACCAAAACCAATACCAATGAGTAATGGAGCTCAAGAAAAAGCACTTAACTATAAACAGGTTTCACTAAGGGCATGGACCACCTTTTACATGTCTCCATACCTCCCATAATGCAGCTCAGTGACAGGTCCACAATAACCTATCACTAAACATTTGCTAATGGTCTGACAAACAAATACTGAAATGTAACGAGATTGTAGAGGTACAAAGTGTGTTTGCATTATTTTTTTGCCTCCTGCACAGGTTTGCAGTTGCCCATCTGTACGTTAAACCATCTCCATGAACAGATACGAATGTCCTATATACCATCTTCTGTTGGTAGGAGGAACAACAGGGTTCTGATTCCTTCATATGCAAGAGCTCTCTGCTGACTTCATTCTTCAATGCTGGCTAGTGGTGCAAGTGATAAGACAGTTTGGGGTCTGCCACTTAGGAGCCGTTACTTAATCTCTTGGGGCCTGTGATTCCTCAACTTTGAGCAAGATTAGTGCTCCTTTCTGCTTTACTCAGTACACATGACTTTATTTCATAACTGGTTTGGGTGCAGAGGAAGATGTAGCACCCAGACTATATACCAACTGATGGGATCTGGCCTGGCTTCTCCCCATGCTTCTGTTGTTCCACAGTCAAGTCCCTGTCCTTATGAGGTTTTGGTCCCAGTGAATTTTCCCCTCAAAAACTGAACAGGATAATAATGAACCATTTTCTTGCATTTTCTATCAAGACTGCTCTTTGTGAGTCCTAAATGTTCTGTCCATATTCAAAGAAGCTGGTTTCTTCATGAGTGGTTGGAATAAGACTTCTCTTGGAAGCTACTGAATATGGATTAGTTGGATTGTTTCTCAGGAAATAAAAAGCAGGCTCTGGGGTGGCTACTTCAACACTTAATTGGGTTAGCAAAGACCTGCAAATGAGAGGCTTTCCTTAGGAGGGAAAGGATGTTTACGGCCCCCCACCCCCCTAGGTGGTGGGTTTTAACCTAAACCCTTGTCTTTAAATGCAGCCTTTAATTTAGAAACCATTACAAGAATCTATTAGAGCAGAAAACGTCAGGTTGGAAAATTAACACATCACAGGAGTTAATTAGAACCCAGCCTCTCATTAGATGCAAATAGAGAGCCCTCCAACTGCCCAGTGGCCTGCTGAAGTCACATTTGTCACAGCTCTAAGGTGGCTGCATCTTCCCCACTCAGAGAGTGGACAGAGGAAGCTTCCCAAGCACTCAGGCCAGAGCCACTAGAGGCCCTGCCCTTTAGGTCAGTGGAAGGTACGATTCACATGCCCTCATCTTCTACTCCTCTCCTAAATGCTCTGCCTATCACAGGGTGGAGAGCCCTCTGCCTGGAACTCCCTCAGGGAAGTGTTTTCTGCAACAAAGACAAACATGCCGTGCCTGTCACCAGGAGCAGACTGGCGACTGTGTAAACCACTCTGTGAGAGGGAGGCTGAGGGGCTCCAGGCCATTCAGACTTAGCTCTAAGTCATGGTCTTTGTTTTCTTTCCACTTTCAGACTGAAATGTGATTCCCCTGGCTTTCTTTTTTGGAAAATACCTTTGAGGAGTTCCATGCAGAAAGAAAAGCTGTTGACAGGAAAAGCTCCTGCCGGGGAAGGGGCTTCTTCCAAGGGTTCTCAAAGGAGACAGTGCTTGAAGCGAGCTGAGGCAGGGATGCCAGGGCTAGGAATAAGAAGTCCAGATCACCAGAGGGTCACCTCTAACTACGGACTAGGCAATGTGTCAAGCAGTTTCCTCTGTAAGAGTAATACCGTGCACATAAACTTTTAGGCCAGGCAGACATGCGTCTGAGTCCTCTGCCACTTGCTGTGTGATCGTGAACAAATTGCTTAACCTCTCAAAACATCAGGTTTCTCACGCTGTTGTGTGAGATAAATGCAATAATGCACGTAAAACTTGTAAGACAGTAGCCGGCAGAGAGCAAGTGTCCTATAGGAGTTGTTGTTGGTTTGATAATAGTATTGCTTCCCCCACTAACGGTGTTCCCTCTGTGTGCCAGGCCCTGTGCTGTTCCTTGACCTCATGGACTTTATCGTTTAATAAACCATGTGCACATACCTTTAGCACAAAGAAAGCCCCCTCTCCTTTCTGCAAATTCCACAGAAGTGCCAATTGCACACGAACTCTGCTTCGTTGAGTAGCTCAGACTCCTGCAGTCATCCCCCTTTGAGCAGCCCTGTAACCTCAGCTACCTCTACCCTCAATTTACCCACAATTCTCTCCGTGTGTACTTACCACAGTGAGGTACATCTGTCTGTTCATTTTCTGTCTGCTCCTGTGAGTTCCCTAGGGGATGAGGATCACTTGGTCATTTGATTCATTCATCTCCTCATTTATTCATCTCTGGAGGCCAATGGTCTCCTGCATTACTCAGCACAGTCATACAGAAGATTCAAACCCACTGCTGAGTATGTAGATTTCCAGCTGGGAACATTTCTGGGGAAATAACCCTGCATCTCATGTTTGAAAGGCCTCCTTGGATGCTGGTTTGGTTGGTCTTCCATTTTCTGACTATCATTTTGGTTACAGCCTCAGTTTCTTCATCTCTTTAAGGTGCTATAATAGAGTCCTTCCCTGGGAGGTTGTGATGATGGCTGGAGACACAGCAACTTTTATGCGCCCAACACAATTCTAAGTACAGAGCGAAAAACCCAGAAAAGTTGATTCCATTCTTGCCCTCAGCCAAGTCTAGTTGCCAATGTAAGAAAACTAAAACTGTAAGGTAAAATATGAAGGAGAGGGGCAGATATCCTTCCGACTTGTATTTCTGCCATATGGCTGAAATAGAGGATACAAAAGCATAAAAATTTGGTCCCTGTCACCAAGCCTCTGGAAAACTCTGGCAAGTGTTGGCCAAAAAGATCTCAGGAAGAGAGTCGAAAGCTCTTCATCCAGATAGTCAGACCTGGGCTTGCAGGCAAGCGATGTCTTTGGGACCTGACTGGAAAGCAGGACTCATTTCACAACAAAAACCAGGCTATTTTGCACTTACTTTGTATGTGCCAGACACTGTGCTAAATGATTTAGGGGCATTATCTCATTTAACTCTTAGAACAACTGTGTGGGATAAACACGAATTTCCTTATTTTACACATGGCCAATTCGAATCTCAGAGAGGCACAGTAGATTTACCACAGTCAAGCAACAAGTAAATGGTTTAGAAATCCACCTGCTGAGGGTTTCACTGGTCTGATTGGAAAGGGAAGGGGTGGACCAGCACAAACCTCCATCCGAGGGATGGGGAGTGGGGTGGGGAGGAATGAGAGAGAGGGAAATTTGGATCACAACAGAGGTCGCATGATCCCCAGACCTCCAGGACCCTTCGTAGAAGAGGAATAAGTTAGAGATGCAGGCTGCAGGGGAGGGATGCCCGGGAGGCTGGGGGAGGGGACCCTCGGTGATTGTGCGCCTTCTTCGCCTCCTTTGCACACAGGTCAAGCCTCTCCCCTCCCGCCCTCTCACCCTCCCAACCTTATTTAGAAACCGTGTCCCCGAGACAGGAAGGGCGGCGGGCCGAGAAGCACGGAGCGTCCCGGTCTCATTTCCTTTCGAATCCCCCTGTGGAATTTCATTTCATACGGTGAGGAAATCGGAGCGCGAGACCGTCGGCTGGTCTGCTGCTCCGGGGCGCCTCCCCCACTCGCGGCTGGAGACAGGCAGCTCCCGGGCGCAGGTCGGGCCGAGTCTGGGGGCGGGGAGACGGGGCCGGGCTCCAAACCAAGCAAGTTAGCAGGGAAAATAGCTGCGAGCTCGCATTGTACCAGGCACGGGGCTAAGCGTTTTACGCATTATCTCTAATCCTCCCGAGTCTCTTCACGGATGAGGAAACTGACGCCGAGACGTTGAGCAATTTGCTCAAGGTCACACAGCCGGGATTTAAAGCCACAATCTTGGTAAACCTGAATCCCGTGTTCTTTGTGTACGTTTCTCTGCCTGATAGGTAGTTTGCCACGGGCCGAGGTGACAGCCGGAAGAGGGAAAGGAAAGGGAGCCGACTAATCTGGGAGCATTTCTCACCTGGGAGAGGAGGGGGCTGGCTGGCCCGGCGGGAGCAACTCGGCTCCATCCCCGCCTGGCCCCCGAGCGCCGCGACCCGGGTGGGAGGAAAAGTGAGAGCCGGGAAGCCGGGCGGGGCGCTCCGGGAGGGAGGGAAGGAGTGGGGGGAGGGGGGAGAGGGAGCGCGGCGGGCGGGGGCCTGACCCTGCCAGCGGCAGAACGGCCCCGCCCCTCGCTGCCCCCGGCGCCCGCCCATTGGAGAGGCGCGCTGTCCGTCCCGCCCCGCCACCGCCCAGCGAACCTCCAGCGCCGCGGAGGGCTCGGGCGGTGGAGAGCGGCGCGGCGCTGGGTGCTGGCGGGATTCGTTGAGACGCAGAGCGGACGCCGCCGGCGCCGGGTTGGGGGCTCGCAGCCTGCAGCCATGACCCTCGCAGTCTGTCCTTCGGCCCAGGCCACGGGTGTCTAATATCCCACACAGTCGCGCGCAGCTGCCAGAGAGCCGGCCGCTGCCCCTTCGTCGCCCTTGGCGCCTTATCACACTCCCTTTCCCGGAGCTGGGAGCAGCGCGGGCAGCCGGCGCCCCCGTGCAAACTGGGGGTGTCTGCTGGACCAGCCCCCGCCGCCGCCGACGCCGCCGCCCCCGGCTCTGGCCATGGCCTGGCGGGGCTCAGTGCCGAGCGTCCTGGGGGCGCCCGGGGGCGTCGATCTCAGTCTGCGGCTGCTGCTGCCGCTGCTGCTGTTGCTGCTGCTCCCGGGGCCAGCGCGAGGCTTCGGGGACGAAGAGGAGCGGCGCTGCGACCCCATCCGCATCTCCATGTGCCAGAACCTGGGCTACAACGTGACCAAGATGCCCAACCTGGTGGGGCACGAGCTGCAGACAGACGCCGAGCTGCAGCTGACAACTTTCACGCCGCTCATCCAGTACGGCTGCTCCAGCCAGCTGCAGGTGGGCGCCCCCACCCCCACCCCTGGCGGGACAGGGACCCCTTGGGCAGGGACGCCTCAAACTAACTCCGTGGAGCCCTTGCCAAGCCAAGCCCCCTGCCCCCTTCCTAGGCAGAAGGATATAACTATCCTGGAAAAGTGATTTCCATCCCCACCCCCACTTTTGTGTCCCTTCTCAGGGACTGAAAGCCAAAACGTTGTGTAAGTCATCTGGCCTGCGAAAGAACCCACTCTTACACCCCGCCCTTCCGTTTTTCTCCCCTGTTCACCCGTGTCTGGCCAAGCCCCTAACCCCAGTGGAGCTGAGGGGGTTATCTTTGCCAAGGATTCTGGCCGCCGCTGCTCGGTGGGCGAGTCCCCAGCAGGACAGCCAGCTGAAACTAAGACTTGGAAGGAAGGAGAGATAAGGAGACGGGAACTTCTCCTCCCTCACGACCTCCATTCTCCCCCATATTTTTGGGTGGGAGAGTAAATGAAACACCACTGCCCCATTTTCTGCGGAGTGGCCCCTCCTCGCGTCATCCCGCATGACTTTGGAGGTCATGCTGGATGGAATGCTTGGGTGGCTTGAGACGTTCTGATCTTTAGGGTTGAGGGCAGGTTTAGGACTTAGACGGCAGGAAACACTCCCCGCTTGGGAAAAAGGTGAGGGAGTGGTCAAACACCAGGAAGGTAATTTATATAATGGAGGATTCTTTTTTTCAGTCATTAAAATTTTTAAAGCTTATGTAATGGTAGAGAAAATGTTCATCCTACAATAAATGAAGAAATAATTTGCATATACAGTGTGATTATAATCTGAACAAAACCAACAACCAATTCATTTTTCTTTTTTTAAGGAACTGAAAGAGAATTCTTAACAGTGTTAGCACTAGGGAAAAAAAGTGTTAGCACTGGTTGTGCTTTGGTTGGTGAGGCTATGAGTGATTTTTATAAATTTAGAAAAGAGAGAACTTGGGGGAAAAAATAGAGGGTAGTTTTCCAGGCTGAAAACTTCAGAAATCCGTGGTTCTGGTTGTAACTTCTGAGAGATAAGAAAACAGGCAGACAGCTTCCTCACTAGGTGCATGTTTTTACATAGGTCACTTTAAAAGTTGGATTGTGGTTTCAGAAAGATGGTTGGGATTAGACCTGTTGCTGCTGAAATGTCCCTTTGGAGCTTTCAGAACTTTAGAACTAGGTTATAAAAGCTTAAGAAACGATCCTCTAGCTCTCAGTTTGGAAACAGCACATATCCTGACATCAGTGGCAATTTCGTTGGAGAAACAGCTTTTGCAGGGATATATATTTTTAATTACATGTATCCTGGGGAAGCAGCCAAGCTGTTTTGAAGGACAGGACTGGATCCCTTTACATGCTGGAAAATAGTTACTTGTAACTCTAGACTTCATAGACAACATCTGTAAGGAGCCAAGCAGACTGTTTATCAATGCTGGAGGAATTGAGGACAGCAACTGGGCTCTCCCCTGCTGGTGTTGCAGTTTCAGGGACTTAACATTTATATTTTCCTATTGTGCTTCATTATTATGCATTGGGGAAACCTGGCCAAGCAAACCCCTGGTGACCAGAGACCTCAACCTGCATCCTATCCTTGGGTCTCACAGTGTCTCAATTAGGACATTTTCTCTTTCAGTATGGGAACTGATTAAAAATTAATTTTAGGGGATCAAGTAGAGAAAAGACAGTATATTAACAGGAGAAAAGCTGGATCTACATATTTTTTTTTTTACATTTATTTTTATGGTGATAAAGAAACGAGGATGAAAATAAATCTCCCCATCGCTGAAATGACTCAGTCATTTGATTAGTCTGTTCGGCTCTTTCAAACAGGGAGTCTCAAAGTCAATTTTTAAGGTTTATTTTCTTAAGCGTTTTCAAAAAGGAATTATGTAACTCTTCAGGTCCTTTTTATGTATGTATTTATTTCTGTTCTCCTGGATTTGTGACAAGGATTGCTAGAACCAAAAGAAGAAATGTGTACAAGCCATGGATTTTTAGGCACCCCAGTTTGAGGTCAGAGTAAACAGAGTCCCTATGGCTGGTTTAAAAGTAGATAGATACTTTGCCTGGAAGCATTCACCTCCGCTTCGTGCAAGCAGTTGGTCAGACTTCCAAGTCATTGTTTTCTTTGTTCATTTCATTACTTTTCCAGTTCTTCCTTTGTTCGGTGTATGTGCCAATGTGCACAGAGAAGATCAACATCCCCATCGGCCCATGTGGCGGCATGTGTCTTTCGGTCAAGAGGCGCTGTGAACCTGTCCTGAAGGAATTTGGCTTTGCCTGGCCAGAGAGCCTGAACTGCAGCAAATTCCCACCCCAGAATGACCACAACCACATGTGCATGGAAGGGCCGGGTGATGAAGAGGTGCCATTACCTCACAAGACTCCCATCCAGCCTGGAGAAGAGTGCCACTCCGTAGGAACCAACTCGGATCAGTACATCTGGGTGAAAAGGAGTTTGAACTGTGTTCTCAAGTGTGGCTATGATGCTGGCTTATATAGTCGCTCGGCCAAGGAGTTCACAGACATCTGGATGGCCGTGTGGGCCAGCCTGTGCTTCATCTCCACTGCCTTCACAGTGCTGACCTTCCTGATCGATTCTTCCAGGTTTTCCTACCCTGAGCGCCCCATCATATTTCTCAGTATGTGCTATAATATTTATAGCATTGCTTATATTGTCAGGCTGACTGTAGGCCGGGAAAGGATATCCTGCGATTTTGAAGAGGCAGCAGAACCTGTTCTCATCCAAGAAGGACTTAAGAACACAGGATGTGCAATCATTTTCTTGCTGATGTACTTTTTCGGAATGGCTAGTTCCATCTGGTGGGTTATCCTGACACTTACTTGGTTTTTAGCGGCAGGACTCAAGTGGGGTCATGAAGCCATTGAAATGCACAGCTCTTATTTCCACATTGCCGCCTGGGCCATCCCTGCAGTGAAAACCATTGTCATCTTGATCATGAGACTGGTGGACGCTGATGAACTCACTGGCCTGTGCTATGTGGGAAACCAAAACCTCGATGCCCTCACAGGCTTTGTGGTGGCCCCCCTCTTCACTTACTTGGTGATAGGAACTTTGTTCATCGCTGCAGGTTTAGTGGCCTTGTTCAAAATTCGGTCCAATCTTCAAAAGGATGGGACAAAGACAGACAAGCTGGAAAGGCTGATGGTCAAGATTGGGGTCTTCTCTGTCTTGTACACGGTTCCTGCCACCTGTGTGATCGCCTGTTATTTCTATGAAATCTCCAACTGGGCGCTCTTCCGGTATTCTGCAGATGACTCCAATACGGCAGTCGAAATGTTGAAAATTTTTATGTCTTTGCTGGTGGGCATCACTTCAGGCATGTGGATTTGGTCTGCCAAAACTCTTCACACGTGGCAGAAGTGTTCTAACAGATTGGTGAATTCTGGGAAGGTGAAGAGAGAGAAGCGAGGAAACGGGTGGGTGAAGCCTGGGAAAGGCAATGAAACTGTGGTATAAGGCTACCCGGCCTCCATACTTTCCAAATGTTGAAGGTGGGAATGCTAGCATTTTGGTGCAAAATGCGACGAAAAGTTTCATGCAGTGAATCTCAGTATGAACCAACTGGCAACACTTAAGTGACCCCTTAAGCAGCCACCACCTGCCCCCCCCCAACTCCCCAGCAATCATAAAAGTAATGATTTTGCTGCAGACTTTGGAATGATCCAAAATGGAAAAGCCAGTTAGAGGCTTTCAAAGCTGTGAAAAATCAAAACATTGATCACTTTAGCAGGTCGCAGCTTGGAGCGTGGAGGTCCTGCCTAGATTCCAGGAGGGTCCAGGGCGATGCTGCTTTTCCCTGCAGAGTGGGATTTGAGCTGTGAGTAGATAACTTGCAGGGAGAAAGATGAACTTTTTTAACCCTTAAAATCTTAAATACTAACTGGGTCTGTCAGATAGCAAAGCAATCTATAAACACTGGAAACACTGGGTTCAGAGAAGTGTTACAAGAGTTTTATAGTTTGGCTGATCTAACATAAACATTTTCTGTGGTGCGCTGTCTGCTGTTTAGAATTTTGTGGATTGCTCTCCCAAGAGGTGGTGTCAGAATCTTTCAGTGCCTTTGTCATAAAACAGAAGTGTTTGAAAAAACAAGAGTACTGTGCAAACACACGTAAGGTATCCAGTGGATTTTTCTTCTTTCTCTTCCTCTTAAATTTCAACATCCCTGTTCTAGGCTGCTGCTGTTTTCTTCATTTTACATTAATGACTCAAAATAGGTATTTTTATAGGAATTTTTGCACTGCAGCATGTCTAATGAGGGGAAAAGTAAGGTTGATTCACTTTCTGACAATCATTTAATTCAGAGGAAAATGAGATTTACCAAGTTGACTTACCTTACCGACCCCAGAGACCTATTGCATTGAGCAATGGGGACTTAATATATTTTACTTTGTGTGATTGCATCTATGCAGACGCCAGTCTGGAAGAGCTAAAATGTTAAGGTTCTTGGCAACTTTGCATTCACACAGATTAGCTGTGTAATTTGTGTGTGTCAGTTACAATTAAAAGCACATTCTTGGACCATGACATAATAGTATACTCAACTGACTTTAAAACTATGGTCAGCTTGCATTCTCAGAATGATAGTGCCTTTCTTTCCTTTACCATAAGAATGTTATCAGAGTCTAGTCTACTACCACAGTGAAGACTTTTTCTGTTTTGTAGAGAGAACTTAGGACAGCTAATCCAACTAGTTGGTGCATAATTGTTTCCTAGTAATTGGCAAAGGCTCCTTGTAAGCTTTCATTGGAGGCAATGTGGCCTGGAGTATTTATATGGTGCTTAATGAATCTCCAGAATGCCAGCCAGGAGCTTGATTGGTTAGTAAGGAATAAAGTGTAGACCATATGAAATGAACTGCAAACTCGTAGCAGCACAGGTCTTAATTGCCTTTTGCAGAGGTATCCAGAGCTTTTAAAATTTATGCTTTATGTTCCTCACAATGGGGTACCCCCTAGCAGCCTCTCAAAAGTTGCAATTCTTTTAAAATTGTAACTGGACTTTCTCTTAACCTGCCTCAGGCCTTCTAATCACCAGATCTCTGGGACAAATTGTTGACAATGTCACAGGCTGCTCTCCTTGTAGCTCATACCTATCTTTGCTTCAACAACTACTTTGCAATGACTCATTTATTTATTCATACCCCACCCCCTCCCTCTAAAAACAGGTAGGAAATCTTTTATCATATTTCTTTCTGGGAAAACATTTCCAGGGACTCAAAATCCCAAATAGGTGGTCAAATTCTGGAAGTAAGCATGCCCTTTTTTTGTTTTTGTAAGCTTTATGCCCATGGTTCCCAGGGTTTGACATTTTCCTTTCTTCTTTCCTCTGTTTCTGGGGGCTCTTGAGCGGAGTCTGAGGCAAAGATGCATATAAGATCTGTTGTGTATTTTGGACGGGAAAGTCCTGGGGCTTTGAAGACAGATGCTAAATGGGCAACGGGTGGCCCCTGGCATGTGTGCTGAGCCCGAGTACCTTGGCTGGACTCTGGGTCAGGGTTCTAGGAGCATGAGAAATGATCCCCAGAAGGACCGGTTGAACTCCATCTGAGACTGAGTCGCCTAGGAAATATAAAATGTGAACTCCGTGTGCTGCTTGCAGACAGTTCCCATAGCTAGCCAGGGCCCTGGAGCATGCGTCCCCGGGTGGAGCCTGCCCTTACTCACGCTCCACTCCAGTGTCTTGGGAGTTGTGCTGAGACTCTGGCCCAGGAAAGGGAAGAAGGAGGGTGCAGCAGGGCACTGGCCTGACTGCTAGGTTATAGGGGTTTGTAATGCAATTTTGTTTGGAATGTTTCTGCGATTGTGTGCCCAAGGCAGCACCTAGCCGAGGGCCAGGCACAGAGTAGGTGCTCAATATTTGTGAACAATGAAATAATAATAAGAGTACGTGGGGGAAACTATACACCCGAGTTCTGGAGCCGTGGCCTGACAACTTTCTGGGTTTTAACCGATCTCTTCTACAAATCTCTTGCCTTCTCAGGGGAAAGTCTGTTTGATCCGAAGTGGCTGTTGGTGCAGACGGGATTAGTAGCCCTGGCAATGTCACAGGGCTGCGGGCCTTTCCTTTCACATTCCAGACAATGGAGAGTGTTTATGGTTTCAGGAAAGGAGCTTTGTGGCTGAGGAGTCAGTTACCTTATTACCTTGACGCGACTCCATCACCTTTTAAGTTGGTATTTGTTAAAAAAAAAAAAAAAAATTCAATTATTAGCACACTTACCGCGTGCCAACCACGTGTAGAGCCTTGTGTTAGGCACCAAAGGGGACGTCGTGCAGTATAAGCTCTGTCCTTCCAAATGACGTGGACTGAGGATTCTGGGTCTGCTGACTTGCTGTTGGTTTTTTGGGAAGGAGCATGGGCCTCTGAATTGTCATCTGTTTCACTGTGTCCATCCCATAAACCTCTGCAAGTCAGTAACAGGGGTTTGACAGAAATCATCAGCCCTATTTCATGACAATCTCTGTGGGAATCCCCTCAGAAGGCTATGAACATTGGCTTAAAACAGACATGAGCTCCCACACCTAAGGTGACTGCGGGGACAGGCACTTCATGGCTTGGGTGTTCCATGTAATGAATACAGGTGAATTTGAGGACATCTTGCTAGGGAAAAGGTTAGGGATGTTTTTCTTTGATATCTAGAATAAGTAGGTGTGATTGTAGCTTCCTACCTCACCAGAAGTCAACTTCCTCTTCCTGCAGGAAGCTACAGTCACACTTCTGGAGATTTTATTCTACAGAGCCCAAGGGCACCACTGTCCACCCTCCACTCTGGCAAACTCCTCTTTATCTTCCTTCATAAAGGCCACACCTCAGGGCAGAGGAACATGGGGTAGGGTGGAACTGACCTGAACCATCTGGTTGAGCTACTTGGTTGATTCATATCCTTTTTCCTCCACGGAGACCCGTTTCCTGATCTCTGAGACTGCTTCTGAGCTGGCAGCTTGCTCAGGGTCCTGAAACCGGAGAAGGGGTGATACTTTTTATTTCCCTGAGAAGATCTCTGATTTTCCTCTCCCCAGTCACTCCGTTGCCTACACCCCCAAATCAGGGAAACTACTGTGTTTAGGTTCTGAATTGTGACTTTACCAGCACTCTGTCCTCTCTCATCCCCCCTCAGCCTCCTGGTCACTGAATTCAGGGCTTACTGTGTTAGGAACCAAGCTGGGACCTGAGGACACAGAGGAGCTTGGTAATCTCTGCCCTGGAGGGCAGACTTAATTTAAAAAGATGTCACCAGGCTAGTGCAGTCTTTGGTTCCTGGTGAGGTGGCCACAGAAGCAGTTAGGGAGGAGAGCCACAGAACAGACTTTGGAAAGGAGCCCCCAAGATCAAGCTACATCCTGAATTTCATTCTGTGATGGGAGAGATTGGAGGGAGTTGCTTTTCCAGCCAATTATGTCGAGTCACTGGACTCTAACGGTTCCTTGTGTTCTTTTATTGTATTTGGGTTCAGAGTCCTCATCTAGGTTTGTATAATGTTTGGCAGAGGACCCGGGTTATCATTTTTCCTCTGGGTCTAGGTCATAGATCTTGGAAACTCCTAGAAGAGTATTTTGCTCCTACCAAGGATCAGATACCAGAGTGTTAAATAATGGATTTTGTTTTACTGTGGCCTGGTCAGAGCTTCTGCCTCTGCCTCTTGCCATGCACATGCACAGTAACGGCATACTGGCTGTCACCAAGAGGGAAGTGAACCCTGACCCTCCCCAACAGGCCTCTTCCCCTTGGTGAGGCCACTTGCCCTGTAGCAACCTGTTCCTATTTTCCCTTATTTCCCTTCTTCTTGGCACCAGCAAATTCCCAGTATTTTCCCAGGTGGTTTATAGAGAGCCTGTTTGAGGTCTTCTATGAGCCATGTCCTCCAGGCTTTTGTGGCTCCCTGATCTCCTGCAACATTCAGTATATGACCACTGTCATCTCAGAAGGCTTCTGAGAAGAGGGGCAGGAGCACCTCTGCCCCCCGAAGCCTGGTCCATCTTCTCCCCCAGGATGTGCACCTCTCCACATCCTGCTCATGTGCTCAGGCCCCAACTTGGTTGTGTGTTTTGGGAGGGGGAGGCTGCTCTCCAGCACTCTCCCAGTGGGGCATCTAAGTGGTTCTGAATTTTTTCCTACCTCACAGGGATGTTGTGAGACTTTCGAAGGTCTCAAGATGAAAGGCCCCTTGAGCTCTTTGTAGGAAAGGTGAAGTAAATGTCAGGTGTGCTTCTTTGTGACAAGGTGAAATGGGACTCAGCATCTTGTGCAGCAGTCAGGCTGGTGCTCTGTGACCTGTCCTTGGATCCCCATGCCACCCTGCAGCTCCTTCCACCTTGAGGCCAGCCTGGGGGGGCTCTCAGATGTTCGACATAGAGGTACCAGGCAAACCCCTGCTACGAATGCCCTAACAAATTGCTGAACGTCAAAGGAAATGGACCCTGCTTTTAAGGATGTACAAATGTATGTCTGCATTG